ATAACTCTAAGGTGTATTTAAGTTTCGTTCCGGCCAAACTGAATTTTTTTCTTACAAATTTTTTATAAATTAATAAAAATTATAAAGGGTTTTAAATTTTCTTCAAATTATTTATAAAGTTATATTACATAGAGTGTTCAGAATAACTACTAGAGCCACCACCCTTTGTTTATTTTGCTTATTCAAATCTTCCATTGAGTGTAGCAATAAAAATGCTGAGCGCAATGCTCCTTCATATTTGCATATACACGACAAATGCTATAATTGACTAAGAAGTCCATGTGACTTCTGTAGTGTCATTGGGACATTAAAAATACGCAAATGTATCTATTAGTATAAATAAACTGAAACTTTCTTGTGTACATTTTTTTTTATTTATAAACAAATTTATGTGCACTTTTAGAAGATATAAGGCTCTTGACTGCGTCTGCGCCATTTCCACAGTTTATTTGTCTTTATGGATAACAATCAATACAATTTGTACCATTAAAATCCACAAAAGTACAAATCGCAATGAATTTGGAACTTAACTTTGCTACATATTTTGACAGTTCTCAAATCCAAAAAAAAAAAGGAATAGTATTTATTTAAAAAAGTTTTTAAAGAAAATTTGTCACAATTAATCAGAATCGTAGGTGTGAATTAAAATAATCCATAAATAATCTATACATATTACCAATACTTCATTATCTAATTTATTTTAAATATATATGGCATTTATTATTTTCTCTGTATAAGTTATTTTACACTTTATGTATTTGCACGATGCTGGAGGAATACACTGACTTTGATAATTCTCTACCAAAAGATCAGACAGGATTTATAATGGAATCATTGCATTATTTTTTAAACTGCTCTTAGAGTTCTTTTTGATAAGCCAGTGAAGTTGATTTTTTTTTAATGTTGATATACTGGATGTGAAACGGTTTTCTATCAAGATGAGGATTTGTATCATTTGTATCATTTAAATAATATATAACAATATTGTTCTAATTAAAAAATTAACATATCTCTGGTCGCATCCCTATACTTGGTGAGAGAATGTGAAATGGTCGGAGTGTGTCATCCTCAAAAGCAATAATCACACGATTTGAAATGATGGAATATCAGGTTGTTAGGCGCATGATATTTGACATTGACTGATGAGTTAGGTTGAAGCCATATAAGTATAAGGATTTACACAGCTTTATAAGGAAGGATTCGAAACAATTTTAATTTTTAATTCAAATTTTTAAAGTAATAGCTAAGACCATTGATGCTATTAAAGATTAGCATTGAAACCGATGCTGTTAAATCAGGTAATTATTATATTATTTTGTCTGAAATAAAAATATGAAATTATTACAATACCTCATGAATCTATGGCAGCCTTTGTTCCAACGCATCTCTATATTTCTTTGATACATTGTTGATAAGATTCTTCAGAAATGTCTTACAATTAACCTTAATCTTGAAGTGAAATGCGTTTTGTTTTATTTAAGCATATTAAATTTTTAATATTAAAAATTTATTCGCTTTTTTATTATTATTTAATGGGCCGTACCCATAAAATTTTGACTGAAGTTAAGAAGACCTATCTATTTTTTGTTTTTCTGTTGTAAATATTTTTAGCTTTTGCCAATTTTTTCAATTTAAATAATAAATGGATTAGTAAACATTAAATTTAACACCTCTGCGAAATTTTTGTTGACTCAAGTTAAGAGTTAAAAAAATTTCTTATTATAAAAAAAGGCTGAAGAAATGAAGTAATTTGATATTCAAATACAATTTCATCAATAATTATATCTTTTGTATTATACAAATATCAAATATAGAAATAATAAAAAAATAAAATAAAAACGTAGACAGTCACAAATACGGGTACTTTGACACGTCGGAAAAAAGAAATTAAAATTTTCGCTTTAGTTTTTAGCTAATAGTTGTGTTGATCTATTAGATACGATATTTGGACTTTTGTTTAGAGATTATAAAATATTATAAGTTAAATATTAATAAAGACCTAAGTTCATATATCCTTTTTGATAGGGACATATGAAAGTATTAAATATTGATCACAATTTTCTTCAATAAGTTTCTATAGCCTTGCTAAGCTGAGTCCAAATGTTTTTCTGGAGATTGATTGATTTTAATGCCACTTTTAATCCACTTTAACGGATCTTTTATTTTTTAATAGACCCGTTTGCAGATCCATTAGCTTGATTTATGAAATCTTGTCATTAATGTGTGAATAAGAAAATCATTGAATATCAAGACACCTCTTAAAAAATTTCTGCCGAAACCAACTTATTAAAAATTTTATAGAAACATTAATATATATTATCTCTGTAAAATATTCATAGATATTATTAGATTTTCAGATTGTTCAGATGAAATAGATAGACTACTACTGGTCTTTTGATTTTTCAGAGACATTGAAAACATTGCGTGAAGTCCTAAACACTTAGGCATGATTTTAAATAATAAGTACATGAAGTGATTTGAATGTAATGTAAAATTCGGATATATAATAGTTTAAGATGAGGCAAAACTTTTAGAAGAGTATGATCAGTCACTTAAAAATGTTATATAATGAATTTGATTGTGTACAGTCAGAGACGAAAAGACAAAGAAACTCCAAAAGTCATACAACTTAGGAAAGCTTGACAGATGAACCTTATAAATTCGACAATGGTTGGGAGAGAAGTAAATATATAGAAAGGAACATCATTACACCTGATGTTCCACATTCCGAAAAATTTTTATTAAAAATAAATAAAATCTAAACGATTAAAGTAGGATGTTTTTTTTAAACATGTAAGAGATACGATGCTTTAATATTGTATATATTTTTAATAAAAATTTGTTAAATAAAATATTTTATTTTATCATAAAAGATATTTAGATAATAAACTGGTAGCATATTTCACGATATAGAGAAGTGATTAACAAAATCATTTGTTTACGTGAGGATCTAATTTTGTATCGCACTGTAAAAATATATTCATGAACCTGCATAAGTACAAATTGCTGCGGTAATTAATAGACATCCACTCGAAAGACTATTGCATACATAGAAATTTACAGAATGGATCGATAATTTCGCTCAAATGGAAAAATGAAAAGAATTCGCCTGTTTGAGCGGAAACTTCTTCGGGATTGCACCAACTATAAGGGCAAGCCTAATGGCAAGCACTTCTCCATCTCTGTCCTTTACGACAATGCCAAGATCACTTGCATTGACGAGTACCTTTTGATACACGCTCGTAGGTATCTCACCCGGCATCACGACCTCCCCCCTGACGTCTCTATTCTTATAATCCTTCCTGAAGATTTTGTTCTAGCCTTGCGCTTTAAACCTCCCCAACACCTGTCCCACTACCTCAATGAGTGGGACCGTAACCTCCACTCCATTCCCCTATATAACCGCGACTTTCGTGACCCCAGTCACAAAGTTTACCGCTAACCTCGCCCCCGGTCATCTGTTCTAGCCCCAACCTCTTCTTCATAACTTAATTTCCCTAATGTACGCTCTTGCTTTCTGGCTTAGATAAATCTAGCTCGCTAGGTACTAAGTCTATTTTTTCTCCTCTCTCCCCTGATTACTGGAATGAGGTTTTCACAATGCTGTGGAAATCTTCTCCATTCATTCCTAAGAGGTGGTTTAGTGGGTTCAAGTTTCACACGGTGGCTTTTGATGCTTCCATCTACTGTCAAAAAAAAAAAAGTTTCTCTCAAGGCGGAAATAGATCCATTTGTTTTTGGAAAGGACAAAGTTATAAATCTTAAATACTAAGCACTATAGCCAATTTTTTGACTTTAAACTAATAATATTAATCTGGTAGATGTACGGTTTTACCAGGTAGTTATAACAAGCCTCAAGACCCTTCATATTTTAACTCCGCAGAACAAATGAATGTTTAATCTAATAGCAATATATGAAGTTGGTGACATATATTGCCTGTTAAGATCTTGTGTTTTTTTAATACCGCTTTTATTTTCCTGGGTTACACAAAGGATTAATTTTTAATGGAAATTCCTTAATTTTTTATATGTAATTAGCTGTGTAAATTACAGGCAGTACAGGCTTTGTATAGTAAGTAGTATTGTTAAATATTGTACTGATGCTGTGATTGTCAGAGTCCCAAATAAACCAAATAAATCCTATCCAGCAATCGGAAGAGTAAATACATTATTAGAACATATTTCCAATCGAAGGTTGAACTTTCACTTGTGGTCATATTAAATTTATCAGAGTTGTAGTCTTAAATGTTAGGTGGTCATAATAATTGTAACTTATTATTATTGTAAACAATAAGGAAGTCAAAGTTAAAAATTTTTTTGTTAAAAGTAGACAGTTTCATTTTAATTACAAGGAGGTAGCGTTTCATGTCATTACTTCTAGGTCTTCAAAACTAGTAGTCATCTACTTTCCACTAATCATATCTCAGTAATAATAAAACTTCTCTAACTTTTATGAAATTAACATTCTCTGATATACTGAAGCTACCATATATTACTTCTTGCGGATAGGCAGAAATAATTCAATTAAACTGATCTTAGAAGATTTAAACAATCTAATACTTTTTAAATAATTTAAAGTCTTGCATTTTTTAATTAAAATTAGCACCAACGTTTTTCCTCGCCACATTATTTCAATTTTTTTTTTGGGTCAAGAACGTGACATCCGTTTTTACTTTCATTATTCACAAAAGTGTATAATATTTAAAAAAAAATAAAAATTTCTTCAAAGTTGAATAAAAAAACTGAAATCCACAAAACACACTAAAATTGTAAATAACTAAACTTTTCGTCGTATTTTTTTTACAAATTTATTTTATTTTTATTTTAAACTAAAAATGAAATTAGGTTGCTTAATAGTAATTAATGAATAAATAATTAAATAAATAAATATTATAATATTTTGCACATTTCTTAATACACACATTTCTCTTTCACTTTTATTTGCTAATTTGTTTATGTTTTGTTTTTTTTTTTTTGGAATATTTTTGTTAATAATTTATAACAAATTTTTTTTGATCTTTTACCGAAATTTTTTACACTTCGTATACTTTGGAAATTAAATAGTGTCCTCAAATATAGCAGCTATACCGTCATCGTCAGATCCCCCACCAAAACCAAATAAATCATCATCAGCATTTGGAGGAACAAACACACCATTAAAAACTCCTTCCAATCGATCCTCAAGACCCATAGTTGAGGCTATGCCATATATTAAACGCATCACAACTAAACGCACAAAATTTGGTGTACTCGTCTCTTTACCACTTGCGCCCAGAAATATTTGACGGTCTTCTTCATTTTCTTCAGGTGTTCTTACTGTGGTTGCAGGTGTTAGCGTACTTTTGTCATTACTTTCTCGTCTCTTCTGTTCAGTCATAGAATTGACAGTTCTGGTTAGATCACTGGTTGTTGCTCTGCCTGAAGATAACGTGCAAATGTCAAGTAATAAAACACCCACAATTATGAACAAAATGTAAATATTAAATTTCTCCATATTTTTGTTTAAACCGTGAAGGAAATTTTTTTTAATCTGTGTTCTGCAAGTGAAAAGTTGCGACTGTTTATGCAAATCTTCCGCAATTGTGTGGACAAATTGTTCACATTTACTGAAACAAAAGCTTTCATTCAACAATTTTTCAATAACCGCTGTGAGTTGTACAATCAATCAGAAGTCAGTCGTAGAAGTGATCAATTTATCAATGAACTTCACGATATATTAAGCATAACAAAACTACTAACGTTAGAGCCGCCGTTGTGATTACTGTACGTATTCTACATACTACCGGTACTTAAAGCCACTACCGCCTAAGCAACCGATTGAAACTATTACGAAGAGTTGAATTGTAGCATTTTACCACAGTTTGGGCAGCAGTAACGTTACACTGAACTTAGTTAATATTCTGTCGGTCGAAAGTAATTTACATATCTTACAGCACGCTCATAGCTTAATCTTCGTATTACTGTTCCTCATCTGCTCACTACAAATTACTCCCAACGTAATTCGTTTCTTCTTCATGCCATTCAATGTGTCAGTGCCTCTTGCAGTCTCTTAACTCAATAGCAGTAGTTTACCATGGAGACTAACAAACCGCAAGAGACGATCTTGAGGAAAAATGAAAACAAAACCCAACAAAAAAAAATTTGGTTATTAAAGAAAGAAGTTGGGAGAGAAAGCCAGAAAGCCAAATAGCTTCGGTGATATGAAATGGGCATGCGTCACGTTAGCCAGTTGGGTTACATTTACGAGTTCTTCTGTTTAACATTGACGTTGTTGTTAAAATATGATTACAAACTCAAAGCAGAGTATATCGACATGAGCGGTTTAATTTTAACTGTCAGAAGAAGAAAGGGCCTTTAAATTTCTAATATAAAATTAGTATAATTTGCGGTATTTCATAATTTCATTCAAATACTTTTTAATTGTGGAGAATTCTTCTAGAACTATTTCTTTCAAATATATATTTTGATTTAAATTAATTAAGATGTATACTTACCATCAGAGGCGAGGCGTCGAATGGTTCAGAGTGTTCACTGAACACCTTAACAAAGCTTCCTTTTTAGATTTTTCTTTATTAGGTAAATAATCTCGCTATATTGCTACTTAACATTTTTTATAATAGCTTTTCCAAACAGATTAACATAAACACAAAACGTAGAATACAAACAAAATCACACATGTGTTAGTTACACCCAACATTACTTACAATTAATAAAAGAGAATACACAGTCCTCTTAAAATATACTAAGGTTCAAAATTAAAACTGCACCGCGTTGCTTACAAAGCATGCAAATGAAATAACATTCACATTGGGACTATGTTCAATATTGAATACACAACACAAAACATACAAACAAATATATGTACGTAAAATAATCTTAACTCTTAAATTAATGCGTGCAAGCAGTTCAATAAAAAAAGTGCACTTCAAATGTTATGCAAAGTAAATACAAAAGAGAAAAGAAATGACTGAGCGAAAATCGCTTTACATTTGACGAGAGGATCATTCCACTAAACTGAACCAAAAGTTTATACAAAGCGTGCAAATACAATCAAAGTCACGGTTGCTGTTTTATATGGTGAAATGGTTCAGTATAAAAACTGAACCGGGCATTGTAAATACAAAGTAAAAGAGTAAATGAATGCATGAGAGTTTCTTACTCTTATATAGAGGTTGGAAATAAATCAATAACAAAGTCATTATTGCAATTTAATACTAGCAAATGGTAAAAGTAAAGAAAAAAATTAAAGAAATTTGAAGTGAAAAATAATATTTAGAAATGAATTAATGTGTGATTAAAGATTTGATTCAAATATCTTTTTTTAAACGATCTTTTGAAAAAAAGATTTTAATTCATAAAATGAATAAACCAACTCCAGATATGAAGAATTTGATACCTGTTGTAAAAATGTCGAAATCTATGGTAAGTCGTAGTCTTCCTACAGCTACAGCTTTATGGTAAATAAAAACCAGTGGATCACAGGCTGCAAACATTTAAATAAATTGTTTTATTGGTCTTGTACGCTATTTGCTTGTGGAAAGGACAAAACTTAGAAGTAGGGGGAATACGTTATAGTTGGAATTCTGTTTTGATTAAATTGTGAACACCTTGCCAAAAAGCTGACGCCTCGCTACTGCTTACCATATATGGGATGTTTTATTAGCTGCATAAGAACTTAAAATGATAATACAAGACATAAATATTGTTGGAATGAAATTTTTATTATAATCTGTTAGATAAATTTAATTCATTTTATTCGATTTTTGGAATATGATTTCCGGCGTATGTTCGCCGTGGCTCCAAGTTACATGGTCTATCCGATCAGTTCAATTTTTGACTATTTTTTGCAATAATTGTAGCCGTATGGAGTAAATGATGGCATGAACATTAGTTTACATTGCTTTAAGAGTTGCTGGTTTAGCCTCATAAAAAGTAATTGAAAGGCGTTAAATCGCATGATTGAAAGGGGCAGTTAACAGGACTACTTCTGGATATAAAGTTGTTATCAAATATTGCGCCGTCTTATTTGAATGAAATGTCGTCGATATTTACTTGGTTAACTATCACGGATTCAATCAGCACGGCATGACAACATTCGCCATTCAATGTAATGACAGTTTCTTTCTCATTTCGAAAGAAATGACACCAAACAGTCAATTTTAAAGAATGTAATGGTGATTTGTTAACGACTTGAAGATTGTCTTCACGGCAATTTTATTTATTGACGAATCATTTAACCAGAAATTAGTTTCATCACTAAACACAATTCTTCGATATGAACTCTGAGAACAGATTTATTATTTCAAAGTAAATTTTCACAATTTAGAAGCGTTGTTCTAACGTTAAACGATTCATGATGAATTATCAAACCTTACTCAATAGAAAGGTCAATACAGTTTAATATTCTCAGCTGTCAAGTCATAGTTATCATTATCGATAGTTCTCATGCAGCTAAAAAGCACCCTATATAAGATATATAGAGCAACCACAATCTGAATTCGATTATTCATATAATTGAAGAGTTGTTCAATAAGATACTTTTATCAGTCTGTTTATATTTTTAAATTTACATCAGAACTTTATTTAAATGAAATTAGATATTGTAACACTTCCGAATTTTTATTAAAATTTAAATTTTGATATGACTATGGGAATTAGGAGTAAAATCCAATTGCTATTTTTTAGAATAGTGAGAGTTCTCCAAAAAACTACAAATTTTTTTTCATTCCACTTATGTCGTCGAAAGGTGGGGGATTGAAATAGACGTTTTGTAATCAGTCAAATGCATTGTTGAACACCAGTATTTGATTGATTTCAATGAACATTAAATATATGACTTGTCAACCCTGATTCCATACCACTCTGATATTCAAACTGGCATGTAATAAAAGTTAGTAATATTAAAGATACTTTTACTGTTGCATGGGAGGAAAGACCATTAAAACCATTCGTCTTAAGTTCTAGATTATTAATTCCTGTTGGCATATCACAAAATGAATCAGTTCTAGTTTGTGACGGATAGAAACAGGTTTGATAAGTAAGATTTTGCCAATAAAGCTGTGAGGGGTCGTCAGCTAGTTGTCCACTATTTTCGGTTACTTAAACTAGAGTTATCTAAGAACTGCTGTCTAATGAGTTAATATTTTTTCTACATTTGTAAACTAATTTGGTCATAATATTTACTGTCAAAATAGCTTTTATAACTTCACGGCTCTCTGAAAGAATAAACACATTTTTCTCCCTAAGAAATTATTTAAAGGTGTGTCTGATTTTATGAATTGTGATTGTAAATCCTGTTATCCAACTCCAGCGGGTAAGCGGTTAGAAAATTTCCGAGGTAAGTCAAGCCTGTCGTAAGAGGTTACTAAAATCATGGTACCATCTAGAAACTAAAGCACTGTTTGAAATGTAAATGGTAGTGAGTGAGTTTTCACTCGCATCCTCCGATCTGAGGTATGATTCTAGTACCATGGGAGTTAGAACCCACAGCATCAGATGTCCTGATCAATTCACATTGGCAGTGCCATGGTGGCTGTGGTTAAAATCTGAATTTACGCGAAAAGAATGAGTGCATTTACTTACTTTCATTTAACGAGGAGTTGCTTTTTTTCGCACCGGGTGCTGTGACCCAAAGATCAGCAGAGGTTTGATGAGCCTTGCTCCTTACTAAGGGGAAAGTTATGTCATACACATGATTTCAATTGGTACCGACGAAACTCATTAAAATTCTAATAGAATGCCTATCGGGGCATTATCTTGATGCTAGAGTTTATAACGGTATGGTGTTGAGTTTACAAGGCAGGTAATTACGTAAAAAAAACTGTGGACACCCAACCTCACATTTAAAAAGTTTATATTTACGATTATAGAAAGCAATTTTCTATTAGCTGTTGTATTAAAATCAAGGAAATATATATAGTAAGTGCTATTGTTTATAATGGGATTGTGAAAAAACGAGAGATTGGGATTGTGAGAATTAATGTTTTGTGTTCTTCTAGAAATGAATTACTATGTAGTTAAGTTAAACATGAATCTTCACAAACCCAAGCATAAAATTATTTATCTGTGATAAACACAATTTCATTATCATCAGTACTATAGTAAACTATAGTATTCAGTAAAATATAGTAAACTATAGTATTCGCCACTACAACTAATTGGGCTTGAAGGATCGGGTATGTTTCTACAGTTTACTTAATTTGTTGATATTATTAATGTTCCAATAGTCTGTGTTACAAGAATTACCAGCCTGCAAGTTAGACAGACCTTCTAATGTACATACATACGTAAGCCTAAAGTATCTTACTCTAAGAGAGACTAAGTTAGCTGTTACTCTGAGCTACTGTAGTTCAGAGCACTTAATTGGAAGAGTTTAAGTTATCGTGATTATTAAGCATTTGCGTAATAAGTTTGTAGGTCAATTTTATATTAACCAGTTCACTACTTTCGTTTTTCTAAGTTTTATGTGACATAATATAACTACAGATTAAGCTTTTAGGCGCCTCATGCCCTGCTTTGACCCTGTCTAATTGCCAACAGCATTAGGTTTCGAATGCTTCAGACGATTTTGTGTAATGCTGGTCACTCCGGACATAGTTGTGTATGCTTTCGGCATATTAAATAACGTAAATACATAAGACATCAGCTACACTCAGCACTTGCACTGGCAAAGAGTATTCGGTGTCATTAATATGTATGTAGATACGTCTGGACTATTTATAGCTGGATGTATATATGTATGTTTGAAACTCT